GAAAGGACATGCCCATTGGCACAGCTCTGCGAAACCAGCGCCATTCGCCTCCCCCCAGGACGTGCCTGCCAACTGGGCCCTGCGAGGTTATCTGAATTTCCCTGTTGGCTCCAAACAGGAACGCGAGCTCCTGTTGCTATCATGCTGCAAACACCTTCACTGCAATCATTCCCAGCAGAAAGAAGCAGGAGGCAATTTGGGCAGGTATGCTCAGGGTACTTTGACTCTGCCTTCAGCTAGTCTGGTCTGCAGGAGGCTCGGAGGGAAGAATTTATCTGGAAGTGTCACGGCCTGTACAACGATGGTATCTGTGCGATTAAACTCATCGTGGTTACGGCAGAAAGGGACAACGGCTACCAGAAGCAAAGTGTTGAAGTTCTGACAGAAAAGACCCTGTGCCCGGTGCTAACAGGTGCTCAGACTCTATGCAGAACTCATTCTGGCAAAGTTAGTTACTTCATCAGTGCACAGGTCTGTGGAAGAATAAAGGCAGGCACATTAAATATATCACTGCTACGCAAATAATGGGTAACCGGGTAAGGGACAGGGAGCCGCATGCCCTGAACCCTCCTGGCGCTGCCTCATATCTTGATTTTCAGTCTTCATAAAATGGATGTTAAAACTCTTACATCACATAGAGGCAACGAGACTTGGTTCAGTTTGGGGCTGACTTCTGTTCCCTGCTCTCGGGCCTGACGGCTCAACAAGGCGTGTTGCTATTTTCCCACTCATTTGGAGTTTTATCAGAAACCAAGTGGAAAACAATCCCCATATCTGAAACCTGGAGACAAACGTCTCTGCAAGCCAAGGTGACTGGAACTATGATTTACAAGGGGTGAGTATCAGTTGTTACAAAGGGATGAGGCTCTGCCGTATGCATGTAAGACAGCTCACCATTTACACTCGCTCTGGTTATATAGCAAAGCAGCCAAGCTGGTAAAGTGGCTAACACATCTGTTGAGCACACTGACTGTGGGGAAATCCTGAATTAACTGTGTACCCATCCTGTTGCTTCCCTATTGTTTCTGCCTATTTTCTCTACCAGGAACTGCGTTCAGCAGAGACTCCAGCACTACTGTAGCAGAAGGCTGAACGTTAAAGCTATAGTGATGCGTTTGTGATATCACAATCAGAGCTGTGACATAATCCGGTGCCATGAGCCAGCTGCCCCCTCGAGCCGACACAATGACGGAAGGACGAACTCTTGTCTAACAGCAGCAGAGAAAATGAAACTACAACTCGCACCAACATAAGTCTGTAAAAACGAGGTGAGTCCTTTTGCAAAACCATGGCAAGTTTTGTGCAATTCTTTTCCCTAAGAAGGCAGAAAACTCTGCAGCCCAGCAAATGACGTCTTTCTAAACACTGTCGCTGAATAAAGTCTAACATGTTTAGCAAGGGTTTTTTTAATGGAAATTAATAGTGGTAGTACTAGTAAAAGCAACACATGCATTATATGTAAAAGCTAAAAATACAGCATACACTCAAGTTGTTTCACTGCCAAGCAGTGTCAGTAAAATACCGAGAGTGCCATATTTATGCAAACTATTTTAGATTTATCCTTCTTCTTGAACGTCTTTGTGGTTGTTGTTGAACTGAGGTTGAACAGGTGTTTAATCACCAACAGTGCCTTTACACAGCCACATGTAGCCTGGTAGATTATCGATTGGACTACGATTGGGAGTAAAGACCTGTAATACAATATCAAGCATGGCAGACGAAAGAAAGCCCTTGCTCCAAATCATCTTGCTCTGGAGGACTCGCTATGTGGACAGCTCCGGCATTTTAATTCCTCCTCTCTTTAACTTTAAAACCTCTTTCATTTTAAAATTTTAACTCCTGTTCCCTATAAACAGATAGAAGCCAAGAATGTATTTTAAGCGAAAACAGCATGTCTACTCTGGCCATTCACTTCTAAATAATAAAAAAAAAGTTAGAAAAAAATCTTAAAGCTCTACAAATGCTCCACTTTACAGAGTCGGTCAAACTTGGGGGGTAATGCTTGTGACAAAAGACAAACCTATTTTCTATAGTAGGTACAACCGCCACTGATACCTGGGATGATTTATTAGTTAGGCTAAATCTTTTAGAATTGTTTTTTCTCATTATACCCAGACAAATAGGTCAAGAGCAATATGCTCTCCTCTTCCAACTTCAAATGGACACAAATGGCTTTACTATCCTTGGGGAAGGAAAAACACACATGACCCCAAAGGGGGGGGGGGGGGGGGGGGAGTGGAATTTGCTGTATGTGCCCAAGTGCTGAAAAACCCACATTTGGGGGTATCTTAATTATAACAAAAGCAGGTTTAGCACAAGTGCTTGGTACAGGGGAGCAGGGTTGGGATGGGGACTAGTATCTGGCTGCTGGCCTTCAACAGAAACCCCTCCTTTGTGCAACAGTTATCTCCACAACAGGTGCAGCTGAGCATGAAATCTCATGTACAGAGCGATCTCTTTTTAAGGCAGGGGATCCACCGAGGACAAAAACTGAGGGTTAATGTACAAAGAAAAAAGGCTTGCAAGGTAACTCCTGTTAGCATAAAGGAATGCAAAAAATGCGGGGAAAAGGCTTCCCTTCTAAGCAACAGGAGGGATGACCTTGTCTGAAAACAAACCACCGATGCAGCTCCGCAGGAAGTGTACCGGACGGACAAATCCGCCTGATCTACTCTCACAATCCTCAAACATTTGCTGCTAATCTTGCTCAAGTTACGTGAAAGGCTCAGCTTCCTTAGCGGACGGCAGAGCAGGGATAGAGGCCTTCTCCCTTGAGCAGGGACAGACACAAGCTGACCTTTTCCCTAAGAACAACCTGGGATTTTTGAACCGCGTGTTCGGGGGGGGGGAGAAAAAAGATCACACTGCAAATTACAATCCAAAGATCTGCAAAACAAAGAACGAAGGCTGAAGATTAGCAGGACACCAAGCGGAGGAGCAAAACCTTTGCATGGGAGGAGGAAAAGACCGCTCCAGAGTGCCCTGCCACACACCTTCCAGAGCAAGATTTAAAGCCCCGTTCCTCTTAGGGGACCTGGGAGGCTGTGCTGTTGTTTTCGAGGACTATGGCTCTCTCTGTAACCTAGGCCTACTACTGATTTAGCTACCTGCGATTTTTGTTAAGACTGTCACAGGCCCTCGTGCCCAGGCAGGATTTCCAAAGGGACCCACCTTCCCGGCCCAAATTTATTCATCCCAAAATTCAATGCTTTCAAATTTATTTGTCCATTGTGGAAACTGGAACAACTTTGCTCCATGAACCTTGCCCCTGACTGGAGAGGTTGCTTTCAACCTGAGGGTCGTACCGTTTAGACTGCATAAACCCTATTTCCAGCAGGTTTTGAAAGACAGGTGGGCATTTACTGTTGTTCTAAAATGTGGTGGGATTCAGAGACGATCCCAAAGGAGCACGGAGCAAGGCAGAGCCTCTCTCTGCTCGCCTCTGTGTGCCATCCTGGTTTTTAGCTCACAATGGCAACTGTGAATGGGGGGCAACTGAGGAACCAGGGGAACATCTACTTTGTAAACTTGCAAAACTTGGCACAAGAGCAGCCACTTCACCCCGAGTTTCACAGGCTCCCAAGGATCTACCTTCTACTCAATGTCTTCTTCCAATCTGAGACAAGCAACTGCCACCAAATCTGCTCTGCGAAGTCACCAGAAACAGAGTCAGTTCTGGGAGACATTCCTCCCAACCCAGTGAAACCCGAAGTCATTGCTGAACTGGGTTCCCCCTCTCCGTTATAATCAGCTTAAATACTGCTGCTTTCCTTTCCCGTTATGGAGAGGGACATTCATACTGGGCTCAACTTCCAAACACTGATGTCAAATGCAACCCAGCTCTCTCTCGGCAAGGCCTTGCCCCAACTGCTGATTTCTGAAGTCATTTTGGTTTGACAGCTGGCTCCTACCCATCCCTGGGAGTGGATCCTGCAGTGAAGTCACAACATGCTGAGCTGTGACACCAGAGTTGCTGCCACAGCAAGTCTGATGTCACTACCTCGGGAGTATGGCAAAAGGCACGTTTGGTTGAGGGCCTGCGATTTCCTTTGATCGTTCCTCAGCTGGTGCCATAAAGTCCCTTCGCACAAAAGGAACAGCGGTTGCCAGGAGGGAAACTCTGGTTGAGGAGACTAAGCGAAGAGCCAGATCACCTGAAAACAACCGTGTAACGGAGATGAGGTTCTGACCCTGCAAACACGAGGTACATCCTTATCCATTACTGCCAGGAGCAAGCCTCCTGGTTTCAGTGGAACTGCTCGGGTCTGTGAAGTTAAACACACGTCTCCGTGCTTACACAATCAGAACCACAACTTCTACCTCTAGCAGATCCTGACGACAAGACAATAAATTTCAGGCAGAACTGAAAAACGGGCAGCAGGAAACAAGACAGTGAGCAGGGAGAAAACAAAGAAAAAAAAAGAGACACCTGATTTCAGATGTTTGGCTGCCGCTATTAAAAGTCAAAACCCCTCAAAACTGGAGCAGTCATTTCGTGAAATCTCTCACCAAGTCCACAAAACGTGGTGGTTTCATCCCCACTGCTATTGCTGTTGGCATGGTTCTCATTTCCATGAGAAAGGTGCATGACAATAGCCCAATAAAGTGGAAATCCATAAAACGTCTCCCCCACTAAATACTTATTTTCTGTTTTTGTCTTATTTTCTTATTTTAGTCTGGTTCCTGCTCATTGTGGACACAGAAACTGCTTAGGATATCAGTCAGTGGCAGAAAAATACTCCACAAGCTTTCCAGGGTCTCTCTGGAGAGGGCTCTATCGTGGAAGCACTTGGATTAACTTTTCTTTACATTTTGTGGAATAGTCGAGAGGTTTCACAAAGACTTATACTGCTCAAATCAATGAGGAGAAATGCTTGCTACGAGTTCACATACCTCGTGAACGGCCAGAGCCAGAAACACCTTGGCCAGGCTGGTAAACATTTTCCAGCTCTGAGCCCAGACCACTGATCAAAGAAACCGTCTTGCAATCCTTATGACTTCATAGCAAAATTAAGCTGCGGAAGGGGGGCTGGCAGGGAGAAAGGTCCCATTATAAAACAACATCTACAATAATAGCTAAAAGGGAAAAATAAAAAAAGTAAACAGCATTTTGGACACATCTTTCAGGTTTGCTCTAGCATGAAAGCCCCCTTTTCAAGTACAATCACATTTGCAACAAGTTCTTCACTAATCTTCCGACAGATTACAAAAGCGTGTTTGCTCTGTTGTATAACGACCGTTTTCTAACAAACACATACAGGTTGCTGGGTTTTTTTTTCAAGTGGAGGAAGAGAAAACAGGAGGGAAACAAAGCAACGCAAGTCCACGCAAACGTAGGTGCGTGTGCTTATAGGAAATGAATTTGTCTTTTCCGCTCAGGGAAAAACGGTAGTGGGACAGGATATGCCAGGACCAAACGTGTGTGTTTGTTCTACGTGAAAAACAAGGATTTCAAAAGTAATTTAGGGGTAGAGAGCAGCATACTGAACTCTGTGTGGGGACACATGGGCTAATTTGGATTTGTGTTAAGGACGGAGAGGAACAAGCTTGTATGGACTCTTTATAATACACCTGATTAACAAAAGGAATCATGACAACACAGTAAGTAAAAACTAGGACACGGAAAAAAAACAGATTTGTACGAACTGTGTGCTTACACTGTACGTTAATACTTGTCCTGCTTAAACTTCTCCAAGTATCAACCACCAGACTGTCAATGGGGATGGGGAAAAATGTGTGATGACGTTTGGGAAACGGTGATTTCTTTTGCCCCTTTTTTTTTTTTTTTTTACACACACTTCTGAGTCCGTTCGCAAAACTTTTTAACGTCTTTTCTGTTTTACGAACAGACCCGCGCTGAGGGACAGTCTGCTTTCAACATAATGGAATGAGGATGGAGCTTGCAGACAAAGTAATGGACCCACATCGTATGTCTAGATGGCATTACAGGCTTGAGCTGTGTGACCTCTTTGCTGGGGCATCTGTGCCATTTCACCTGGAAACGTCACAACGGGGATATTCAGGGGGTCAACTGGGTGCTTTTGTGACTTTTTTAACAAAACTCACATTGGCGGGGTGCACGAATCGGGGCAGAATTCTGCTTGGTTTGTTCACACACGGGATTAACTCATTCCTCGCATGAAATGTATGCTAACAATGATCTCTGGACTTCTTCGGTGGTGGGGAAAGAAAGGAAAAGGTAGAATTTAATTATTCAATAAAAAAGGATACTTACCAACCCAACCCCTGCATCACATGAAATACAGAACTCCTTAGAGAGAAAGGCATGCTAATATATACAAGCAGCTCTCTGGACTGCACACCTGCCCTCTCGGGGGGTGGGAAGGGGAGCAACTCTCGCTCTTGCACAAACAGACATGATTAAGCTGTTTATTTCTGTGCATCGCTTTCTGGCGCTAGGTTTTCCAATAACACAAAAGGCTAATAAAGGGGAACAGCTGAAGTTATGTCTTTCGGGGGAGGAGGGGGTGGGGTGGGGAAAGGTGCTTTACACA